ATTCTAAGCAACGTACAACATCGCCTCTTACATGTATGAATGTTTAACCAGGTTTAAAATGTTGGCAAAAAATGATTATAAAGTTTCTTCAAACGCAATCTTTAGCGGACGCAAGCACACACACAAACACACAGACACACACAGACAAACATTTTTTTATTTACTCTCAACACCCACACACTCAAAATTCTATCAACAACCTATTAAAGCCAAAACTCATAAATTTAAATGTAGTCTTTTTTAAACAAATGGTTGGACAAAAAAAGTTAATTTTTTCAAGCATGCAACATTTAAAAATATACAGACAACGAAAGCGCGAGAGGAGATTAAGAAATATGGGCGAGGTTACATATAGTCCAAGCAGAAAGAAATTAATAATAGCCGGATTGAAAAATAACAAAAGCATAATCCTTATACCATCAACAACAAAAAATAGTAATAAAAACATTTGGAAAATAAAAAATAAACAAACGCAAATAAATGTCAAAAAAGTATGCGTGTAAGGATAGGGGAGAAAAAAGATAAGGCGCGCAAGAAACATGGAAGCAATTTCATTTCACGCTGGTTTGAATGGCCAAATGTACATGATCAGCCTGGATATGTTCACAAGATTAAAAGATTTTGCCAGATTTGCTTCATTTTTTTCACCATTATCATCTTCATCATCGCCATCCTTATTACCATAATCTTGTTTGTCATCTTCATCATCTTCGTCATCATCCTTTTTCATCTTCTTCGTCATCATCATCTTCCTCATCATCATCCTCCTCATTATCTTTTTCCACTTCTCCATCATCTCCATCATCTTCCTCATTTGTTGTTTCTCATCTTTTTTCGATAAGCCAAATAACACAACAAACAACAACAAAAACAACCTATTGAACAATCAACAAAAGAAAAAACCAACAACTGTCAAAGAAGATAGAGAAAAGAGGAAGAATAATTAAAAAGATAGAGAGAGAGAAAGAGAAAAGAGGAAAAGAGAGAACGAGGAAAAGGAAAAGAGTGAAAGAGAGAGAGAGAAAAAGAGGAAAAAGAGAGAAGAGATGAGGAGCAATCAGAACAGACAAAGAAAGAGAGAGAGAGAAAAAAAAGAGGATGAAAGCCTAGAAAGCAAGAAGAGGACATGAAAGAGAGTCGTAAAGCATTCTGCTCTTGTCCTACTTACTTACATGCTGTCTGCAATTAACTATTTATGTTCCTTCGTTCTTTTGCTTGTTTGCGTGTTCACACGAATGCATGTATGTATGCATAATTGTTTGCATGTTCACACGCATACATGCATGTATGTATGCATGGTTGTTTGCGTGTTCACACGTGTGCATACAATTTTTGGCATCTTCAAAAATATGTGTGCATGTATAAATGCATGCAGATGAGAACACCTCATATGTCTGGATACGTTAATTGTTTTCACACAGATATCTATTTTCTAATTGTAACTCAAATGTAGATGTACGTACATGTCCATATATATATATATATATGGACATGTACATGTATATGTATATATATATATATATATATATATATACATGTTAGCATATATACATTTATTATATACATTTGATTGCATTGGCGTGTATACACTGAGGCAAATGCATGCCTGCGTCTATATGAACACATGTACGGATAAAAATATGGAAATTCACTGATGCATGCATAATGCATTGACGTATGTGAGACAGAGCATTTTTATGTATGTATGTAATAATAATGCTGATCCAGCTACTAATAGCGGAAAAATTATTATTTATGTTTACATGCCCATTTAACCGTATCCTTGTTTGTTCGACTGCTCTTCTTTGTACTGCTTTAGTTATGTGCGTGTGTGTGTGTGTATGTGTATTTATTCTTGTGTATGTGTTTGTGTAATGCACGTTTTCGAGTTTTACATGTTGATAAAAGTATGGTTGTATTTTAAATTTTCATTTAAAAATTCACATTCTTAAATCGGTTAATGCAACATTATGATGTATTTTAAATAGTATGCGATGCATTAAAGGATTTAAAAACTTTGGTGCAAGTGGTACTAGCTTGGTCTGCATCCTTTTGTCTCCGTTCATTATACTGTTCCTATTTGCGGAAAATGTACGTTGTACGTTGATGTTCAGACATTTATTTTGTTGTTTTTCAGTGCACTTACATGCACAACAGATCAACATGTATGGCTGTACTGTTATGAATAATGCAATGTGATGTGATGTAATATGATGTGATGTAATATGATGCGATGTAATATGATGTAATATGATCAAATGTGATATAGCGGTCACTCAAATGCTAGAAAATTTCAGATCAAGTCCTTAACTAAATTTGATGTAGCAAACCTGCTGTTTATACGCACGCATATACGCATCCTAATTTAATTAAACACACAAAATTTTACAACGTTAAATTGTGCGCATACACGTTAATACGTTTATTTTTTTTAAATTCATCAACTCATTCAAATGCATCCATGCGTTTATGCATTCATTCATGCGTGAATGCATTTTTAGTTTACAATGCAGCGCCAGGAGAGGACGTATTTATAGAAAGCTAAAAATAAACTGCTTGTAAACATGAAAAGTTGAAGAATATATCAACATCATTGAACGTTGCATTAACCTGGGCCATTATATATTTAATGATTCTTTTGGAATTGTATTAATTATGCCACTTGAAATTTTATTTCAAACGTAACAATTGCAGTATCGTAACTGACGAGGTAGTATTAAAGTAACGTAAATTAAAATAGTATTGGTCGGTTTATTTATATTTTTGATTTATGGAAACACATATCGTACGTACAATTGATGCGTTTAAAAAATTTGCCAGTGCAGTCATTATTTAACGATGAAAAACGCTTTATCAGGCTGGCTGATTGTTAAAACAATAACATTAAAATATGCGCAAGAATATTTATAAGTTATTTTTTGTTGTTGATATTTTCTTATTCGTATTTTCTGTTTATTTTTATTCTGCCCGCCAATAAAAGTTATTAATCGCACAATTTAATGATTATTTTTGAATAGGGTGTAAAAAAATTTCAATACTTATAATACTTAAGAGACTGTTGTCGAGTTAGCTCAGACAATATGAATGCCAGTTTTGCGTCGTTATTAATGCGCGCCATCCTGATTCAAATGCTGTCTGTCCAGAACTTAAAGAACAACGTGTACTTTGTGCGTATAGTGAGGTGTTCGTTTATGGTGTGTGTGTGTGTGTGTGTGTGTGTGTGTGTGTGTGTGTGTAATGATTGCAAATAAGTAAGAAAAGATTTGTTAGAGCTATGTGGTAAAAGGTCACAATGTTAACTAATAGAGATAACAAACTAATTCAGTTGTGGCAATAAATTTATGAATAGTGACAGCAAAAACTGCAGTATTTGTTATAGATGTGACAGTTAAGAATACTTTTTATTCGAAAATAGTAGATTCAATGTTGTAGCAGTAGTAATAATAGCAAAAGAATTAGTGGTAGTAGCAGCAAAAGCTGTGGTAGCCGCATAAGAAGCGAGCAGTAGCAGAATCGGTGGAGATAGCAGTATTGGCTCAGTTGTAATTTTATTAGCGAGTTGTTAGTTAAATTAGTATTCATTGCCGTTAGAAAAGTTATAGAGAGGAATAAATAATTTTTATTACGCTAATGCAAACAGAAAAAGCATCTTTCTACATCCAGCTATGCCTACTTTTTTTATTATACTACTTCTATTACTGTTACTAACATTAACATTACTACTACTCTACCACTGCTTTTCTATTTTTACTACTGATACGTTTACTACTACTACTACTACTACTACTACTACTACTACTACTACTACTACTACTACTACTACTACTACTACTGCTACTACTACTTACTACTACTTACTACTACTTACTACTACTACTACTACTACTACTACTACTACTGCTACTACTACTACTACTTACTACTACTTACTACTACTACTACTACTACTACTACTACTACTACTACTACTACTACTACTACTACTACTACTACTACTACTACTACTGCTACTACTGCTACTACTACTGCTACTAATACTACCACTACTACTACCACTACTACTATTACTACTAACTACTACTGCTACTATTATGTTGTGTGAATATGCCATATAGCTTCGTTATAACGTAGTTGTGTTTTGACGTTGTTTTGAAGTTTCGTAGTTAAGCCGTTGTGTTGTTACTCTGTTGTGTTACTTTGTTGGACTCTGTTAACAGTAATTTCTCGTGAATTTAATCAACCTGGTCAATTGAAAAGAAGATGCTAGGCAGATGCTGAGTGTTTCTTTCCATGCAGTGCCTCTGTCTGGCTGGATCATAATCCTACTGATCCATTTTCACACCCGTCCTACATGTGATATTATTTTCTTATTTTTTTATTTTTTCATTTTCGTTTTCTTTTTTTGGCAAATTTGGTTTTTCCTTTGTAGTTATTTTTTTGCCAAATGATTTTAAATGTTTTTTAGTTATAAAAAATATTATATTACTTATTAGAAATGTGCCTGGAGGTAAAACCCTGTTGTTAATTATTTAAAGCCGAGATTTGTGCGGTGAAACTTATGTTTAAACAACAAAAAACGAATTAAATATCGTTAAATTGAAGTTGAAATAATAAAAAAATAATAACAACAAACAAAATAATAAAAACAAAATAATAAAAAACACTTGAGCGTTCATCAACTTCAACGACTTTTCCCATATAAAACAAGCGCCCGTGTATATCGATCGATCGGCAACTCACGTGTTTCCTGTCTGCTTGCTTGCGTCATTTATCACGTGACTGATACGTGGACCGAGATTGGCCGTTGATTTTTTTTTATTTATTCATTCATTTATTTCGTTTATATTTTTTATTCATTTATTTTATTTTTATTGTTAAAAAATCTCTTTTCTATTGAAAGAATGTAGTGGGTTTCGATTTTAAGATAAGATTTTTATGTTGTTCTGAAACTGTTGTTTTATTTGTAATGTAATGTATTTATTAAAGTAACTTAGTTATCAATGCAATGCAGTCAGATTATACATAATTCGCCCATGTTACACTAAAAAATATTAAAATATAATTTTAAATAAATCAAACGACTCAACAATTTCGCCACAAATTTTTTATAAGATCATTGTTCGTGGGAAACATTCAATGGAACGTGTGCAAGTGGTGACGAGGTCATTCTCATCAGGTTGGCTCTCTACGGCAGAATGATGGCCGGGAAGTGCATCACATCCAAGTTGTTGTTACCCCTTATATTCATTTGTATTTTTACAATTGAAATACCACCTAAACAACGAGAATAATAAAAAAAACGATTGATTTTAATACACACACACTCGCACACACACACTCACACACACATATATATATAGATACACACACATCCACACACACATACACACACACTCACTTACACATTCACACATCTACACACAAAACAAAACAAAACGCAACACACACAACATTACAGGTACGCCGAAGCAATGGGCTGCAGATCAGACGTCACATACCACCTGGACGAGAAATGCACAGGTCGACAGAACTGCAGCGTTCTTGTGGCGACGTTGGATCAGCTGAGGCAGCCGTGCGCCAAAGATTTCAAACTCTACCTTCAGATCACTTACGAATGCGTCAAAGGTTTTGAATTAATGCAAATTTGGTTTTCTGAATAACGCAAACTTATTATTGATTCAAGTAAATTTATCTTCAGTCTATGGGGAATTTATTTTATTAGCTGAGGCTTTAAAACTCTTAAAACTACAGTATGTTAAAAATTTTTACAGATATGAACTTATACAAATGCATAAAAAATACAAATTTGTATGTCGCATACAAAAAATGTGTATACAAATTTGTATGTCATCATCAATAATTGAAATTTGTATGTGTGCATAACGCATGTAGATATTTATTCTATTGTTACTTAATACATCAGAGCAGGGGTTATATGTTTAAAATTCCATGCGAATCTCTGGCATAAAATTGATGAGCACATGATATTATGGGAGTGTTCATTTGCTCTCTTGTACGCACACATCCTTCCAACAGAGAGAGAGACAAGCACACACATACATACCCTTACACACTCACACACACACACACACACACACGCACACACACACAAACTGACAAAAAGAATTTACATAAACTCTCACATATTCTTTCACATAAGCTTTGTTCACACATTAAGAAAAATTGATATGTATGCATATTTCACTGTAAGCACGTTGCCGTACGAATCTTAA